GGCCGGTCTGTTTCATGGAAACAAGTGGTCTCTTTTGCTCGTTCTTATTTGTTTCACCAAGTGGTGATGTTGCGCAGATGTCTGCACAGCAGTAATTACGGTAATGCTCTTAAATATGGAAATCATGACTTGTCGGCTTTTCATACGTCTCCATCAGCACTGATTTAATGCACCAGTGCAAATGTCTGGGTCTCAGGGAGAGAAAAAAAGAAGCTTTATTTCCCCACAAAAAGTTTGAACTCTATGACTGAAGTTTGGAAACACTGCATGCCGGACGCATCTGTGACTGACGTCACCAACGGCTCCTACGGTCAGAGTTCCTGGGGGCTTTAAGGCTGTAATCTAACAAGGCTGTTTTGATGATTAGAATCAGCTTTGAAGATGCTGTGAAGTTAGTGTTGTGTAGTTTATTATTCCCTGTGGTCTCTGTTTCCTTCTATTTTCACTGTTGTACTTTCATTTAATTAACTTTGATTTTGTTTTGGTCTGAGAGGAAGTTGATTTGGCCACAGAAAGAAGACACAAAGATGAGTTCAGAAGTACAAAGATTCACAACGCTTTTTGACTAATTCAGTCTAAATTATCGAATTTTACATCACAGATTTGTTATTTCACGCGCTGAAGTGAGTATGTTATCAGTATTATTATTAGAACTGAGAAGCAGAGAAGCTCTTTAACAGTACATTTTATTCTGGTTAAACATCAGTGGTTTGCATTAAACAAGTGCTCTATAGAAGGAAAAAAACAAGATCAAATGTATGTGCATGCTTTAATGTTGTTTCCAGATGTGATTTTTTTTTTGTCCTCCAAGCACAAATCTAAAGCTGTGGTCAAAACTTCAGTGCTATGGCTGCAGTTTGTTCACATTGAAGAATATCAGTAAGGTCCAGCACTGATGTTAGGTGATAACAGAAGGTCTCACTTCATTTTGAAGGTGCTGGATGACAGCAGCCACCTACACCTGACTGGGAATTAACTGGAAGCAAATGTTTGTTTAAAATATCGGTATGTGCTGTAGCACTATTAATCTAAGAAACACGTCTATTTACCTTTAGGGATCCCAGTATGCGAACCCATTGGCTAGTTTGCTGACTTGGTCTTTGAGGAACTGGTTGTTTAGAGCTCCCTGTTTAGCCAGCAAGTATCCAAGCCAAGATTTCAGTTTCTGTCTGCTGGTCATCATTTAAAAATGCTAATAAATCATCCATCCATTTGGTAAGCACTCATCCAATCTGCTGTTGTAGCTAGAGTCTGTCCTGGCTGTCTTTGAGTACATTCTGGACAGGTCACCAGTCCATTACAGGACTAGCTAATAAAACCTGATAAAGTGGAATCAGATGATGTTCATGCTTCTGAATTGCATTCCTGCAAATCCCATCCCTCCAGACAGAATGTTTAGCTTCATGCTACCAAAGCTTGCACATACGGGTTAATCAGTACATCAAAATTGGAAACCAAAAAGCTTTTGGTACCAAAAATCGTGTTCCTTGACTACAGATTCTGCATATTCATATGAATAAATCTGTTTGTAGAAATTAATGGGATCACGACTGCCTATGAGAGTGCACTAGATGCCTTCCTTAGACATCCTCTAGGACAGGGGTAGGGAACTCCAGGCCTTGAGAGCCAGTGTCCTGCAGGTTTTAGATGTGTCCTTGATCCAATACAGCTGATTTAAATAGCTAAATTAGCTCCTCAACATGTCTTGAAGTTCTCCAGAGGCCTGGTGATGAACTATTCATTTGATTCAGGTGTGGTGACCCAGGGTGAGATCTGACACCTGCAGGACCACGGCTCTCGAGGACTAACGTTCCCTACCCCTGGTCTAGGATGTTATTGGTCATCACTTTGTAGCTGATGATTGGGAGATAACCCTGTACTGTAATTATCTCCCTCATCATATTTTATAAATGGTATAATTCACTCCCACTGGCAATATCTACAGTTGCTTATATGAAAGTTGAGATACGTTTTTATTTGGGACTTTTTTTTTTGCCTGCCATCCTGTTCCCCCTGTCATCTCTATAAGGAGCTCAGTTTCAGTGACATGTTATGATCTCTGGATCAGTAATAATCTCTGCCTGTATAAAAGTAAAATAATTTAAAGCTGGATTAACAACCTTAGCATTGTGAAAGAACATTTAAAAGTTTTTGTTATTAGGTTTTAGCAGTTATACATCAGAATTCAAGCATCAGTAATGACATCCTGGGTAAACTTCTTTTCATGGGCTTCGTCTTGAATTACTTACAAATCTATAAATGCCATATCACTCTCTTGTTCAGTTTGCCTCTACTTCTTAAAACAATGAATGCGTCCCATTCAAAAGCCCATCAGTTACCCAGAACAACTGCATACTTCGGCCTCATCATTCAGGTTTACTTCAGCCAATGAAGTGCATCCCAGCCCTCGAGAGCAGTACTGCTTTCAGGAAATGACTATAATGTTTTAAAAGGGCCGTGTCCAATCCATTGTCCTCACTTTAGAGTTTACTGGTGGGCTTTAACCCCAGGCTAACAGTTGTGCATGTGTAGGTGTGTGTGTGCTTCCAGTTGCGGGATCTTAGCCACTACATCATCGCTGTGAAACCTATTTCATTGTCCAACATGCCAAAACCTTTCAGCCCAAAACATTTGCTGCAACCAAACCAGTCCCAAGAAGAGGGGGAACTCGAGTCCAAGCAGAAGATATATTTCCCATGATGTAACGGCAGAGACTTTTATGGCCCACAAACCAGCTAAAGAGCTGAGCATAGATGATGTGATAATCCCAGTGACAGTCTGCAGTCACTCGTGTTGTTAGAACACGTCTCCCGCTGACCGATGGTTTGTTTAGCATTTCACCTTCCAAGCCTTTGTTAGTGTTTGAGGAACCTTTTGGCAGAAGAAACCTTGTCGAACACTTGATGCAAGATGAGCACTGAGGTCATTATGTATATTACTCCTGCCAGATCTGTATGTAATGCGTGAAGAGGCTCATTTGAATAGGCAGGCCAGACCCTCTTTGATGATTATATCAATATATATTTTGACTCCCGCGTTTCTTCTCCAAAAAGGTCCTGGTTTCAGGAAGTATTAACAACGCCTTCCTGGACAACTTGATACCGGATACTCCCTACTCCGTCACTGTCACCGCTCTGTACGCCGACGGCGAGGGATCAGCGGTGAAGGACAATGGCAAAACATGTAAGCACAATGACAATGTCACATTCTGATGGTGTGTAGAATCACATAACTTACTCGCAATAGTTTACATCTGTCGCATGCAGTGATGCAAAACACAATAAGTACAAGTATATTTAAATTTCGGGTTGCTGACTGCACTCCTCTTAGCAAATATTGGATCATATCATTGGTGATGATCGTAAAACTCCGACTATAATGGACAAATGAGCCTTGTATGGAAAATTAATTATTTAATATCTTTTATACAAAACCCAAAAAGACAGAATGTGATAATTTTTTAAATCTCGTAAGCCCATATTTTAACCATAATAGAAAATAGACATATCAGATGCTTAAATTGAGATATTTTACAATTTCATAAAAATCTTTAGCTGATTTAGAACTTTTATGGCAGCAACACATCTGAAAAAAGTTGGGATGGAAAAACAAAAGGCTGGAAAAGTAGGTGGTACTAAGAAGATACAGCTGCGTGAACATTTTATAGCTCATTGGATTACCTGGAAACAAGTCAGTGATATGACTGGCACCTTAGAGATGCAGAGTAAAGATGGACAAAGTTTAATATGCAAAACTTTAAATTTAGTTTTTCTAATTTCAGTAGTCATGCAACTGGGATATTCTATGCATTCAGGTTTATTAGTCTCCTTTGTCTTTTAGATATTAAAAGCAAACCATGGCATTTAATATAATTTGGTAGGAAACAGACAACTTTACAGAAGCTGTGTTAGCATTAGCCAGCTAACATAGGTACACCCTCACTACCTCCATAGAATAATAGAGGATAAGAAGTCAAATGCTGATATTTAAGTGCACTTGAATAATTGATCATCAGCAAGTGTGAGCACCTCTTTAAAAGCTGAAGTTTTGGCAGGTCTGGAGCATTCAGGTGTGTTAACTCAATGCCACAGTCCTATCAGGGGTGGATGTCCCAGCAAATTCACCCCAGTCTGTCGGGCTAATGCTCGACCCAAACTGCACAATGATCACAAGCATGGAAACAAATGACTGAAAAAAGAAAAGAAATGGCCCAGGCAGAATCCAGACCTCAACCTGATCAAAGTGCTGTGGTGGGACCTTAAAGAACGCTGTGCATAAACAAATGCTCACAAAAGTCAATAAAGTGAATCAAAGCTGTAAAGAAAAGAGGGCCAGAAGTCCTCAACAATGTTAATGGGTCCAGTTCGTGTGGAAGGGCCTGTACTGATAAAATATATTTTACATTATTGCTGTAAAAAAAAAACCCTACTGAATCATGAGGCATACTCAGTTTTTCACAGGTCTGTTATTGTGTTGATTCTCGAGTTTAGTTAAAATGTTTTTTCTTCCCTTTGTCATTTTATTTATTCCTTTCTTTACTCTGAAAAAACAGGAAAAAAAAGTGGGCTTTCAGGGAGGGGCCCTTAAAGAGAAATAATCTAGTATAACTAAATGCCTTCGTGGGCACCATTATATGTAAATGAGGATTCAACTCTGGGTGCAGTAAAGTAAAACTTCAGAACTAGAAGTGGTCATAGAGGTTAAGTGAGTATATGTATATAGTGTAGCTATAGTAGGATTTAAAGCATTATAGAAATCAAATAATCTTTTATTCATGAATTAGAAAAATATATTTCTATTTATACATTAAAAAAAATTCTCCTACACTGCTTCTGTTTGATATGGTGCAGTACCCCGTGCTGGTCCCAGGAACATGCGTGTGTTTGACGCCACCACAAGCACCTTGACCATCGGCTGGGATCACGCTGAAGGGCCCGTAAGACAGTACAAGATCTCCTACGCACCCATGACTGGAGACCCCATCACAGAGTCCGTAAGTGAAACTTTAAGCTCATTGACGTCCACAATATCAAATCATCTCAGATAACATCAACATGTTACTGGTAACAGTGCTAAAGTAGAGCAGTCATCCCAGAGAAGGAGCCAGTCAGTACAAATTTAAAATCAGGCATTAGTGATGGTCACATTTCCAAAATGGTTTAGTGGCCTGTTTGGGGGTAAATATACTTTCCTTCGCACTCTGATTACCTGCCTGTATTGTCTGAAGGAAAGCTGGTCTTACCCTTGCAGAAACTAAACTACGCACACTGATGATAAAATTTTTAAAAACGACCTCAGAGGCTGAGACATTTTGGTGAAGTCATTTCGGAGGAAATGCATCAGACCCACTAACCTCAAGTGTATTTCTTACTCTCTCTTTAACCCATAAAGAGGGATTAATCTCAGGTGGTGATGTGTTTTGTTTTGGATAAACTGGCCGCAAACCCTCGCCATTCACAGCTCGCTGTGACGTCCCCCTCGGACTATGCGGTGAAGTCACATCTCAGGATTCCCTCGCCTCATTCAGGATATAAATCACAGATTAGGGAGACTAATTACAGGCTCAGTTAAACAAACTGTATAATTTGGGGCATAATAGCGTTATTAATAGTTCTGAATAATAAGTTGGAACGATGGTGGAGAGCGGAGACGGCCCAGCTGTGCTTCCCTTCTGCTCGTTAGTCTAACACTTGCTCAGAGTGAGTCAGCTAACTGCAGCAGAGGGACGCCGATGAAAGGAGCTCTCCAGATTGGGACTGACCAAAGAGCTCACGACTATTATTTATACCGATGCAAAGTGATCAATTTAGCATCTGTAAATAATTTGGAAGGTTCGTGTTGGTACACAGTTTCTATAATCCCACCGAGAAGCAATTTTCTGCCTCACAAGGCTGAAGAAGTTATTTCCTGTTTATTAGAGAAGTAGTCTTCTAAAATATTAAAGCCTAAAATGTAAAATTGTGCACCACCAACAGTTTTTGTATTTTTCAGGCTCTTCTCTTTATCTTACTGCACAAACCAAATTTATTCGCACTAAAATTTGGAATAAAATTTTACCCAAATTTAACTTTGATTAATTGATTTTAATGACCGTTTCTCATTTAAACTAATATTTGGGTCCTTGATTCAAATTCCAGATGAATCCAAATGGTTTTCTATTATTTTACTTTTATTTAAACAGGGAGCAAAACTCACCACTGAACATGGACTGTATATAAAAGATATAAGGGCATAGCAGTAGGAAGTTGTTTCAGCTTGCATTCTTTATATTGGCCAGCAGGGGGTGATTCCTTTGGTTGCAAAAAGAAGTCCACCCTGGTAAAAGGACTCTTCTTGTCACTTGAAAACTTTCTGATGGGGTTATAGCCTTAATCAGTGCACTTCAGTAAACTGGTTAAGATAGCAAAAAAATAAATAAATAAAAATCTATAAAAAATAGGAAGCAAAATAATCGAGAATTTGACTTCATTGCAAGGAGGATGTGTGGTTTGAGGCATCTTCACTTCACAGTTTATAGTCTCTCTCTGTATATAGCATGACACCCTTTATTCTTAGATCTTTGATTTAGAAAACAGGAAAACTCCTCAAAAACTGAATAAGAGAGAAAAAGGAAGCAGAAATCTCCAAAATCATACATGCACAGACATGTGTGGAAGGAACTCTGTGGAAAGCAGGTGTAGCAGCTTGTCCTGTGACTGGGAGCACTGGGTCAGCTCCGCTCACCAATTACACATACCATGTGCAGCAGATGTGCAGATAGCAAAGCAACTCAGGACGCTCTGGATGCAAATCTTTCCTGACTGATTTATGCTTTTTCTTCTTCGGCTACTGAAAATCTCTGGCTCTGTGCCGTTTGGATCTTCAGACTCTGGTTTTAGGAAACAGAAACAATGCCATGCTTCAGAATCTGCTCCCAGACACCCCATACAACATCACTGTGGAGGCCATCTACGCCGAGGGGCCTGGAGGATCCCTCAACGGGAACGGACGTACAAGTAATAAAAACCTCTTTGACCTCTAGTTTTCTAGCAAAGGCAGCTTTTCAGAAATGTTGGTTTTCTTGTGATATTACACAATCCCTTGCAGCTGTCACAGGGTTTCTGCACATTTGGCGTCATAGCTGGGCCGATTGTAGTAAACAACAGGCTTTCTCAAACTCGTAGAAGGCAAATTTTACCCCTCAGCAGCCATCTTTCAAGTTATTTAAAGGCTTCCAACTAAATTAAAATGGTAAATGGCCTGTATTTGTATAGCGCTTTTCTAGTCCCTAAGGACCCCAAAGCGCTTTACACAACCTGTCATCCACCCATTCACACACTGGTGATGGCAAGCTACAATGTAGCCACAGCCACCCTGGGGCGCACTGACAGAGGCGAGGCTGTCGGACACTGGCGCCACCGGGCCCTCTGACCACCACCAGTAGGCAACGGGTGAAGCGTCTTGCCCAAGGACACAACGACCGAGACTGTCCAAGCCGGGGCTTGAACCGGCAACCTTCCGATTGCAAGGCGAACTCCCAACTCTCGAGCCACGATCGCCACAATTAGAAATTAAAAAGTAGAGATCCATGACTTTAACTGCAATAGCCAGCAGTATGTAAAAACTCCACGTGTAGAATCAACAGTCAAGTTTGATTTAAACAGAAAGCTCGATATTTAGTTTTTGTTTTACCCAAAATAAAGTTTTTAAATCTTTTTCCTGCAGGTTATTCTGTATGTCTGCTACACATGCTGAAGCCCTACAACATGGCTGTTTCATTAACAGAGCAGATGTAACTACCTGTATCACTTCTACAGTAACAAGTAGATATACCTGCTGCTTGTCTACTGTGTGGAAATGAAGTGATTAGCTCAGATGTTTTCTGTGGCGGCCCCTGATTGGCTCTTTGCGGGCAGAGAGTGGACAGCTTCCATCTTTGGTCTTACAGAGTTCTCCTTAGATATAAATTTTTTAACTTTCTGTCGTTACTTGTATTCAAACCTGAAATAAATCTTGTTTGATTAAGTCTATTAACCATCTATCAGAAAATAGCAAAAAAAAAAATCCCTCTTTTATATTTCCTACTTTTGATTTTGATATTGACCGTCTGTGGAAGGTAAACCTCACAATCCGCTCCACCAGCATCGTGCTACAAACAATTCTAGTACATTTAGGATGTAATCCAGCACCTCAGCAACTTTTGTGGTGGTTCAGCTTTGAGGCATTGAACCCAGGAGCTTAAACGCAGCGACCGCAGTAGCACTTAGGAGTGAGTTAGAGGAGTAACAGAAAAAATAAATACATTAAGTGCGCGTCAGTTATCAGGGTCTGCATGTGTTAGTGTGAAGAGTTTGGACTCGATCGGCGAGCAGTAGGCTTAGTTATACAAACAGCAGACACTCAGAGTGTGTGTGTGTATGTATGTATGTATGTGTGTACCTGTTTCGATATCTTTGTGGGGTCCAAAAATTGGAACATTACTGTGGGGACCAACAGTCACTTGTGAGGACAAAAGTGACAAAAGTAATTTTTGAGACTCAAAATGTGGTTTATTGTCAGGGTTACATTTATTTTATGGTTAGGTTTAGGCTGAGGGTTAGGCATTCATTTTTGATGGTTGGGGTTAGGCTAAGCGGCTAGGGAAGGCATTATGTCAATTGGATGTCCTCACTAAGATATCAAAACGAGAATGTGTGTGTGAGGCTCTTTCAGGCATCCGTCCAATTCTGGACACACACCAACTGGTTTCTTCAACAAGACTAAGACCCAAATCTAAACACCTCTATTACATAGGATGAATCTTATAACCTGACTTAAGGCGGCTCATTCCTGACCGCCAGAAAGGAAGAGGCTGATTTTTATTATTACTGAGAAAATGTCCCCCTTTTTTTTTAAACAATGCTCTGTGGTTTAAACAACCTACAGGTATCAAGTTAATGAAAGGCTAGGGGGTTGTTCTAGCGTTTAACAGCAGCGAGAAGACGGCGTGTCAGCTTCCAAACTGAGCTCACTGAAAATTTTGCCACAGTAGGTGTAAAACGCTCCCCGGTGTGTGGACGGCTGATATTTACGGTTCAGTTAAAGGAAAGAAAAACAGCCAAAATAAAGTTCTGTGTCATTCAAATGCAAACTACAAATTAGAAGTTCACTAGTGCTTCTGTTTCTGTTTTGTTGCACATGAAGCTGCAGTGGATTTAGTTTAAAAAGCCAGAAATTCTCCTGCTGCTCTCCCCTCTCTACCCAAACAATAAACCTCCTTTCTGACTTTATGGGGCCATAATTTACTAAATTAGCTTTAAGTTTTATTAAATATGACTTGAAACTTGCGATTCAAGGCTCATCAGGAAAGTTGGAGAGTTTAAGCTGGCTGAGTCACTTTTGCAGTCAGTCTAAGTGGCTAATAGAGGAACTGCAGTTTTTTGGTACTTGCACATTAGCATCATGTTTTAGCCCTGCGTGTTGATGCTTACCATGTCTAAAATTCGATGCCTCCTCTGTGTCAAAGTCGGCATGTTGAGTCCCAGAAACCTTCGGATCTCGGACGAGTGGTACACGCGCTTCAGGGTGGCCTGGGACCCGGTGACTGCACCCATCCAGGGATACCGGCTGATCTACACCCCTGCAGGTGAGCCTTAACAAAACCATTGCGGTTAATCAAACATGTTTCTCTGCACACACATTGTGAATAATGTCTTGGTTCCTAAAAGCTGTCACCTGATTTTTACTTCTCTTCAGTTTCTCACTCACTTCTCATTCTCCGCTCTGTGTTTCCAGGCATGAACCAGCCCATCGACTTCTTCGTTGGAGACGTGAGCTCTTACACTCTGACCAACCTGCAGCCTGGAACCACCTACGACGTCAAAGTGCTGGCACAGTACACCAGCGGCGTGAGTGCGCCGCTCATTGGCCAGGGGACGACACGTACGTACAGGAAGCGTAATTAGACGCACAAACTGCTGATTTATTTCAAATGTCGCTCATAATTGTTTCTTAAAAAACTCACTGGACCTTGGCGTCCTCTTGTTAACCCCTCCTGATTTTTCACGTCCAGTCACTTCTGACACTTTAACTTAGGACCAGAGAGAATCCCAGGATTTATCTGATGTCTTTTCAGTTGCTCAGATTTGTTTCTGGCTGACTGAGATTTGGACTTAAAGGCATGTTCACACCTGTTTACTATTTTGTCTGGTTATATTGGCATCAGGTGTTTGTTAGTTTTTTTCAAGTTGGCACGATTTGTTTGGACAGTAATTACTCTCAGGTGTGGAACAAAACAGCTACACCAGGAGCCCTGAAAAGAAATGGGCTCATGAAGTGAAATACCAGTCAAGTTTCTCGCTACCTAAAGTTACTCACCTGGTTCCATCAGGCAGTGCAGCTAACAGATTATCAGATGTACTCTTTTTTTGTTTGTTTGTTTTTGTTTTGTTTTGTTTAGCTAAACAGTTCCTGTCTCATAGAGAATCTCTATTTTTCATCAGTTGTTAAAAGAGCTTAAAAAAACATGAATCGTCCGACATATGAACAGCATAAACCTCCACTGTGCTTAAACTCTGATTTTTTTTTTCAGTCTACCTGAACGTAACCAACATTGAGACCTACGCCATCGGCCACGACAAGTTCTGCATCAAGTGGACGCCACACAGAGCGGCCACGTCTTACCGCATTAAACTCAACCCAGCGGACCGTAAGTCACCTCACATCACTTTTTAAATATCATAATCAGCTTTTGTGTGTAATAATAGTAATGTAATAATAATAGCACTTAGACCTTTTCTATGTAAGTCTCTAAATGATCCAAAACCACATGGTTGTGTAACATGTCCTCGGATAGATCACGGAAGAGAACCTGCAGTGATTTTCATCAGAAGTTTCTGATATTTCATTTCTCTGCAGATGCATTAATCTTGTGCTGTGGCTCTATCTGCCAGTGATCCTGATTCAGAGTGACATATTTAAATTGATGCATGTGGTAAAGTGTGCAATAAGACTCCCATCAGATGTCTGAAAACATATCTGCAGATGAGATCATCTCTGCAGATGCTGCAGAGACTGTTTTGACTCAAACATTTTCTTGTAATTTCCTCCCTGAGGCTGTTTAAGTTCAGGCCTATTTTCGGTTATTGATCAAAAAAGATGCAAGTTTTGGCCGAGACTGAAGGCGCCCGATCACCAAGCTTTAACTCCATCTCTGTTTGCAAAGATTACATCCTTTTCAATGACTTTGGAGTGTCCGAGGTCCATCTGGTTCATACTCGCACGTGGAGATAAAGTATCCATGTTTAAATATCGTTATGCGTTATGCATTAGGCGTTCGGGCTGCCAGAACAAACACGGGTCTGTTAGCGTGAGGCAGATGGTGGTTAACCGCTACCATAGGAGCCGTCCCAGTGAGACGCAGCAGACGCTCAAGTCAACAAATCAGTCAACTGTTTGTTCTCAAGTGGAAATGCAAACAGCGGTCGGAGCCAGCGGTGAGATGAGGGGGTGGAAAAACGGTGAGCACGGGTCTTCTGCCTCCATGTTTTAACATCCGTGGTAAGAAGAGGAACATGTGGTTCAGACTCTAGGCTATCTGATATCCTGCTGAATAGTCTGAGGGCTTTTATTTTGCCAACGCACTCTCAGCTCGGACCTGAGTGCATCTTTGCTCCCGATGAAAGAGGGCCACCGTTCTGGAGTCGATCTCTCTGAGAGGTGTGCGTGTTTGCACAAATTAATTTACATGATCGATCACAACTTGTTGATGTTACTGGGCATATTCTGAAGATATCTGCAGCAGCGGAGCTGCGGGGAGCGTTGAATCCGACTTACTTGAAGTGCATTTGGGACAGCAAAACGCCCGTGCGATAAACACGATTTGTTTGTTTGCTCTCGCAGAAGCGCTCAGAGTAAATAAGAAATCTTATTATAAATTTATCAGCAGCCGAGACAAGCAGAGAGATAAACATTTCACTGGAAGGGTCAGGGTGCTCTGTGTGTAAAGTAATCTTTATTTTCTTCGTTTAGCAACAAAAAGTCCACTAAACTACAGACAACAGTCATGAAGTGTGGTTGGTCAGTGACTATGAGGTCACAAATCCTGCAAGGGCTTTCAGGTAGTTTAAGACGTGCTCAAAGAAACCTTTCCTCTTTTGGAAACTTTCTGCAGTCCTCTGAGGCTCACCCACTGTCTTAAGGTCTTAGCTGGAGCCCATCCCAGCTGTCAGTGGGCAAGAGGTGCAATATTAGAAGTGGTAGACTACCCAACATGTATACTAAAATGTACAGGGATATTAATTTGTAAGTGTTGGTGAAGTGATTGGACGAGACTGCCTTTAACATGGAATTGATTTCAAATACAAACACAGATGGTTTAAAATGGAACTAGAGCCATGAAAATGCTGCAAAATAAACCTCCTTTGTCCCTCATGAGGCTGAAACGGACACAGAGTGCCAGCGTCACAAGCCAGCAGGCTTTGGTGTTAATTTACAAGCCAGAAACATAAGCACCTGGGGAAGTAATCTTTGACTCATTAGTAATAATTATTAATGCTGTCATACTCAGGAGATGTATGAAGTGAGTAAAAATCTTAGTTTTCTTCACAGGAAAATTTCAACATGATTCAGGGTCCAAACTGTGTAAAAGTCACTGGTGTGTTTTACAAGGGCGTGACGATTCAGCCATCTCGAAAAAACTCGTGACTGAAGAACATGAGTCAGTGTTTCCCTCTGACAGGAACCAATCACACTGAGCCCACAGCACCTGGAAATAAACTCTAAATGAGCCGATCGGGAGGTCGAACCTTATTAAACCTCGATGAAACTTTTGAGCACATTCAGAAAAGTCCATCATTTAATTTAAGACCACTCCACTGTACTGTGATGTGTTTACATGTGTTTTTGATTCCTCTGTAGCATCCAGTAAAGGACAGCATGAAATCACCATTCCCGCCGGCCTACCTCAGTACTGCTTCGACGGACTCTCTCCCGATGCTCTGTACACCGCAACTGTCTTTGTTCAGACGCCAAATCTGGAAGGCCCAGGAGTCAGCACCAAAGCGAGGACCTGTAAGTACTAAGAAAGTTCTGCAGTGAGGAGGAAAACTCTAGAAAATCGAGAGAATTCTGCCCTTAATAAATGCACAAAAACTAGAGTGTGTTTGAAATGTGACCGGTCTGGTTCACTGCTGTGAAAACGTGAAGTGCAGTATTTTAATCAGAGAATCAAACCAGTGGCAGGAGCACAACTATTAAAAGAGAGGTCGGGTATTTATACCTTGTGGGGACATCTACTTGACATAATGCTTTCCCTAGCCCCTTACCCTGGCCATGAAAAATGAATGCCTAAACCTAACTACAACCGAATTATAACCCTATCACTAAATCCACATTTTGAGTCTCAAAAATGCCTTGAAACTTGTGGGGACCAGGATATTGGTCCCCACAAAGATATGAATACACACTCACAAACACACACATACACACAATACATGAAACAAACATAAAGAAGAGAACAACAGTGTACTGGAGATAATGAGTCAAATTTAAAGTCAAAATATATAAACTTCAAGACAGCGTGGTCTCGGGCCGGAAAACAGGTGTAGTTTAATCAGGCAGAACATCTGAAGCCTTGAGGTCATTTTTAAAATTGCCTTTCTTTCATTGAATGAGACCGCATCCTGAATTTGGGTCAATCTGAGCAGCGCGTCAAACAAGAATAACTTCCTGCACTTTAATAATTAAATTAAAGCATCAGGGTTTTTGATCTGGAAATATAATTTCATCAGTTCTTTAAATAGTGATAAAATACTTTGTGGTCCAAATGTCCTGCGAGTGACATTGTCCACTTCAGCTGTCTCAAGTTTTTTATATTGATGTTTTAACTTATTTATAAAATGCAACAAAAATATTTAACAAATATAAACACTGAATGTAAAGAAGAATGTAAAGTACTGCATGCAGTGCTGCATGTGGCAGTCGTTACATGATTGGCTGGAAAAATCCTTTGTGCCAGGCAGACAGCTCAAAGGTTTTCAAAGTAATCCAACCTGTTTAAGATGTCATCTTATGTTGAAGGGAATATAAATAAAAACGAGTTTAAACTCGCATTAATCTGTCCTTCATGTATTCTTAGTACAAACCAACAGCATCTGCATCACTGACGGAAAAACACATAAAAACACGTCCCAAGTGGATCAGCCCACCTTTCCAAAGAGAACACGATCGTAGTAACAGCTGCGTGGCTCCGACACGCCCACTCACAGTGCAGTCATGGTGTCTGAGACATGAAGCACGATTCCAACTGCGAATTGCATCATCTCGCAGTGCGGCTCCAAAACAATGACTTCATCACGCGCCGTGTTTACACCGATTCTGTATTTATTACAAATATGTTGATAACATTTTTTTTTTTGTGTTTTTTGTTTTGTTTTGTTTTGTTTTGTCTCTCACAGTGCAGGAGCCAACTCCAGACCCAACAACCCCGCCTACTCCAACAGCTCCACCCACCATCCCCCCTGGATGGGCAGGTAAGCCTCTAATGACATCCATAATCCATAATCCAACTGAAGGCGAGTTGAATCTGAAATGCATTCTTGTGTTTTGGTTGATGAGACATATTGCAGCCCACAATATGTGGCCAACGACTTGTTTGAAGGTTCAATTTTCACATTGTGGCTACCACCGTGATTTCTTTCTCATTGGTAAACATTTGTGACCCAACGGTTAAAGTTCTTTAATCTTTAATTTAATGCTGATTCTTTATAATCTTTATAAAAACTCACCCTGCATACAGACATCATAGAGGTCGAAATTTTTCAGGTTGT